CTCCCTGGTGGGCTGGCATGGGTGTTACATGGGACCACTCATCTTTCCTCTCTAATGAGCATTGCACTAAGCTCGAAGGGAGGTCTGAAGCTGGCTCTGGCAGCAGTCTAGTTGGTGAGACTCCACACACGCTAGAAAGGATGTGAACAAAGCAGCCATTCCTACCATTCCACAGATGTTTGTTTAACAGTGAATCTGGCCCACTCCCTGCTTGAATGACAGAACCACAAAATTAAGACCAATGCTCCAATGCTATCATTTTGCTGTGATTTTCTATATTTTAATTATAATTTTTAAATTTTGAGATTATATCATTTCCCTCCTTCCCTTTCCTCCATTGAACAGCTCCCATATACTCCCTTATCCAAATTCATAGCCTCTTCTTTAACTTTGTTACATATAAATACATACACAATTAAAAATAATAATAGGAGTAGGTCAGGCATGGTGGTGCACACCTTTAATATCAGCAGTTAGGAAGCAGAGGCAGGAGGATCACTGCATTTAAGGCCAGGGTGGTCTGTTCCAGGATAGGCAAAGCAATATAGTAACACCCTGTCAGGGTGGGGGTGGGGAGGAAGAAAAGGAATTTTGTACTTCATTCAAAATGTGCTGGATTTTCAGAATAGTATATCCCTGTACCTGGAAGGAAATGCACCAGTGGGTCCCATGAGTAGTAGGAGAGGGAGCCATTTTTATTTGTTCCTGTCCCATGACTCTCCAGCTGTTGTCATTAGAAACTAATAATCGTTTTTACTTTCAAAGAACTCACCAGAGTGTCTCCAGTTCCTCAAATGTTTCTTCCTCCTGTGTGTCGAGAGCCCATGCACTACTCTGTCCCGGCACTTTGGAACACATCCATGATTGTGAGCCCCAGGCACTTTATGGTGCTTCCTTCTCTTATGTAACTGGATTTGGAGCCCTCATACCCAACTTCTCTCTATTCCCAGTTCTTCTGTGCATCCTAGCTGGTGATCATGGTTATGGTTTGGACATGAAAGCTCCTTGGGAAAGGCTACTGGTGTTATGAAGGGTTGGTCCCTGCTGGTGTTGTCACCTGGGTAGTGAATGGGAACTTAGGAAGCAGAGTCTTGCTGGAGGAGGCTGGTCACCTTACTGACCACCGTGATGTAAACTGCTTTGTTTCCTGTGTCTTCCCACTGTGATGAACCAAACTATGAGTAAAATAAATCCTTCTTCACCCCACCCCTTCTTCCTTTCAGTTGTCTTTTCAGGCATTCTCGGTGAGAGAGAGAGCACCTCCACACCCCTGTTCTCCCCTCTGCTTTGACAGGGTCGAACTTCATAGTTTCACCATACATCATACACATGTACTGAATTATCACTCTGTACCCATAAAATATGTAACAATATTATGTCAATTAAATTGAACTTGAGATACCAACTTTGAAACTAAACTTACCAGAGAACAGTGTCCCCCCCCCAGAAAAAAAAACAAAACATAGCAAAAATAAATAAAAATAAAAAACAGTTTCATTTCCAAGGGCCTTCAGTTCCTTTGAGCTTCTCATTACACCATCTCCTCTGAACTTTGCTGGAACCCTCTAAGCTCAGCCAATTGGGAGGAGTTCAATTGCATAGCTGAAGAAATTGAGTTTGGCGGATGCAGAGGCTTAAGAAAAAGAGGGAATAGACTTGAGGTTCTATACAACCAGCCTGAGCTCGTGGTTCAACCAAAGCCCTTAGACTGTGGGGTGACCTTTCCACTTGGGGGATGGTAGGTCTGAGCCTGTAGCTCCCAGCTGTGGCTGCCTGAAGGAAGGGTGGTGTGCCTGGCATGGAAGATGCGCAGGACGTTATCTGCTCAAGTGAAGTCCTTTGCCATTGGGAACTGCCACTTGGGAGGTAGTTCCACCGATTTGACAGTTTAGTAGCTGTGAGTTCTCTGTAAGACAAGTTCTTGCTCTATCATTACACACAGTGTGATGACTTGAGTGTGGGCTTTGGGGCTAGAATGGAAGCACTGGGATTCACCCTATCACAGATGGAGCCTATTGTGCTTGCCAGGGTTCCAGAGAAACAGAACTGGTAGGTCGAGCCTATAATATATATAAACAAGATTTATTAGAGTGGCTTCCAAGTTACGGTCCTATTGTTTCAATAATGACTGTTTCCCAAAGGCAAGTCTGAGAACTCAGTGGCTGTTCAGACCACAAGACTGGGTGTCTCAGCTGCTCTTTAGTATATGCCAGAATCCCGAAGAAGCAGGCTCTAAGACTGGTGAAGGAGTGAATCTGCCAGAAAGAACTTACTTCTTCTATCTCCTTTATACAGGATGCCACCCAAATGTATGGTCCCAACTCAAGGTGGATCCTCCCACCGCAAAAGATCCAGACTTTTAGGGTAGATCTTCTTACTTTAAATACTTGAATCAAGAAAAATACCTTCCAGGTGTACCCAGCCACTTGGTGTTTAGTTATTTCCAGATGTAGTCAAGTTGATAACCAAGAATAGCCATCACACCTACACATTTCCTTTCTGCCTCAGTTTTCTAATCTGTAAAGTGGGAGTTATAATTCTTGCCTTCTGGGGTGGTTGTCAAGAATAAAGGGATGAAGAAGTGGTGTGAAGAAGTCTTAGAACAGTGTATATGGTCCTTAAATGTCAGTTGTTACCTGCATTGGCTTTTCAGGTTGAAATCTGAAATTCAGAATACTCTAAAAACCTAAAGGTTCTTAAGCACTATCATGATGCAACAAATAGAAAATCCCATGTCTGACTTCTGATGATGAAGGGTACACAAATTTAGTTTTATGCATGAAAGTATTTTTAAATACTTGTGTAAATTTATCCCAAGGCTATGTCTTTTTATTTTTCTGTTGTTTGGGTAAAATATTCTGACAAAGAGCAACTTAAGGGAGAAAGGTTTATTTTGGTACACACAGGTCCACCATTGTGGGGAAGTCAAGGTAGCAGGAGCTTGAGTTACTGGTCATACGGCATCCACAATCAAGAGGCAGAGAGCTAAGAATGCATGCAGCTGCTGAGCTCTCTTCCTCTACTTACGTAGTCTGGGATCCCACAGTCAGCAGGGCTTCCCACATCGATGAATGCGATCAAGATAACTTCCAAGGCATAGTCCATCTCCCAGATTACTCAGGTTCTCTGAAGTTGGTGATTAACACCAACCACAGGCCATGTGCACACAAAGTGTATAGGAACAAACATACAGGAATCTAATCTTTGCACTTGGTCCCATCCCCGGGTTATCTCACCAATACATGAAAAGAGCAAACCTGAAACAGTGCCATGGGTAAGGGTTTAAGCACAGAAGTGTGAGGAACTCAGCACAGACTCACTGAGCAACAGCTGTCACTACTAGCCTTTCACCCTCATCATCACCATCACTGCAGCTGCAGTAGTTGCTCACAGGAAACAGACACAAACACGCTGGGCCTCATTTTATTTAGGAAGGAGACATCTGGACCCAGGAGCAGGGTCCTTGGCCAAGTTCAATACCAGATCTGTTCTTTATCACATCAAGGGGTTTCTGTCTGTCAGGGTCATGTGAAGAGTCCCCTAGCTTTGCCCAGTGTCTGTCCTGGCTCGTCTAATAAGGCATCTTTTCTGTTTCAGCCGTGACATCTGCTCTAGTGAGTGTTGCTGTCCCTCTGACTTCCAATCCCATTTTCAAACTTCAGTTGTTTAAAGCCATAGATGATTTTGCCATAGCTGCGGACCATATGGTCTAGTCTTTGCTTTATTATTTTTCTTTGGCTTGCCTCATGTTGAAAACTTAAAATACATTTCTTCAAAAGGGAAAGTTACTCATCACCGTGAATAGAAAGCTGGTTCCACCTACTGTAGATAGACGCTGACCATAAAAAGAAATACCATGAAATTAAAACAATGCTATTAAATTATGGAGAATTAGGGCTGCCCATCAAATACTCTGGGCTTAGGTCCTGGGCCTGTTTGATTTCCATTTAAGAGGGAAATTTGGAGAGGCACAGTGTTTTTCAAAAATGTTAAAAACAGTTTGAACCAGAGGAAAAATTTTCTTATTGATAAATGAAAATTGAAAGAAAATATAGACAAGAAAAGGCTGCCTTACCACAAAATTCATAGTCCTTTACTTCATTGTTTCTCTCTAGAAACTTCTCCTTTTGCATAATCTAGTTCTTCCTTGAAAAGGATTAAAGATTGCCAACCCCTGCCCCCGCTTCTTACATTGTTCCAGGAAGACCAGTAACCTGCTTTGAAGTGGGACTGCTCGGTTAAGAAAGATCCTTCCCTGGGCAGTTCCAGGCCCTGAACATCTGTGAGGTTTCCTCCGAAGATGTGTTCTATTGCAGAGCCCCAGAGAGTGGGTGAACCCATGCTTCAACAGCAAGAGCTGCTCTCTCAAAGTTCAAGGGCTGAAGACCAACGTATGGGCAGGCTTGGTGTCTAGGGGAATCGCTTTGCATGTTTAGAGGCACCTTTTCTGTCTTTCCTTTTCAAATTTTTTGAGACAAGGTCTCACTATATAGCCTTAGCTGGCCTCTAAGTCTCCAAGTAGACCAGACTGGTCTTGAACTCACAGACATCTGCTTGCCTCTGGTTTCTGTGTATTAGGATTAATAGTGTGCACCACCACACCTGGCCCCATAGATGCCTTTTCTTGGCAAGGTCTTCACAAGGGGCAGAGCTTTAGGAAGCACTCAGGGTCTTTCATAAAGACATCAATCTCTTCCTAAGGCTCCACATCATGCACCAATCCCCTTCCCTCCTCTAATACCAACACCCTGGGAGTTGGGCTTTAGTGCAACAATCTGGAGGATGGGGGCACATTGGGCATAAATGTTCTCCTATCTGCTTATGCAGTGGGGTTGTTTTTTGTTTTCTCAATGCTGTGGATGGAACCCAGGGCCTTGAAAACACTGGATAGACACCACTCGGGAACTATATCTCAGCCCTGAGGCTAGCCCTTTTCTTACTGTGTAGCCCAGGCTGGCCTTGAACTCACTAACCCTCTGCTTTTACTTCCTAAATTATAGGTATGTGCCACCACAGCCTGCTGGGAGAAGGGTTAAAAACCCCCAAAGGAAAGCCACAAGGGATGGACTGGATCACTGATCTTCACAAGGAGTGGAAATGTGGAATTCATTACATAGCCACAAAGAAATGCACTTTTTTTTTTTTTTTTCTGGAGGTGAATTTTCTGCTTGCTGAACAGAGCAGATGGCTGCGCTTGAGATGGGAAAGGAAATTGCTAGCCCCGTCCTCTGGCATAGAATTAAGGAAGAAACAATTGACTAACTCACCAATCTGGGCTCTGATCCTTCTTCTGTACCCTCTGAAGGTTTCTCCTGCAGATGTGCCTGTCATCAGAGAGTCTTTGAGGAGCACTGCCCTGATTCACTTCTCCTAAACTGATGGGGATCTGCCTCACCTGTGTGCTGCACCCAGATTCTCAGCCGCCTTCCCTGAGCCCCTGCAGTCTGTTCCTGCCAAGCTGCAGGACTTCTTCCTTTGAATTCTCTCTTTCTGCCCAGTAGGGTACATAGTAGGTTTCTGTTTTCTGTATACATACATACATAGATGCCGTTTATTTCTGGAGTGGCCAAAATGGATGGTGCTTGAAGCTTTCCTATAATGCCCCACATTAACAAAGTGGCCACTGTCCTGATTTGTCGGTGACTTTTCCAGCTTCAGCCTCAGCAAATTGGCATCTTGGGTGGCTTACTGGAAGATTCCATATGTTCATCTTCATGGGTCCTTCACATCATGGAAGAGGATGACATTAAACAAATGATTCCACAACAAAATGAGCAGCTTGCCCTCTGGATTAGTGGGCTCTGCATCTACTGACTTAGCCAAACTCTGACTGAAAATTTCCAATAGAAATTGCATTTGTACCAAAAAATGCAGACTCTTTCCTTCCTGACACTGCCCCCCCCAAACTACAGTGTAACATCTGTGGTGTATCTCCATTGGATGTGGGGGATGTACACAGGTTACACAGGAATGCTGTTACATCCACATAAGGGCTTGGAGCATCCTGGAGGGAAGAAGGAAGGCTACTCTGAATGAGGGCAGGAACACTCCACAGGCCAGGGCACTGGACTCAAAAAAAAAAAAAAAGGAAAGGAGAAAGCCAGCTGACTACCAGCATACCAGTGTCTGTCTCTCTATATATCCTGCTCTGGCTAGATGGCAGTGAGCTCCTAATGCCACCATCATAGACTGCATCCTCTGAACCATGAGCTGCAATAAACTTCCCCTCTGATGTACTGTTCTGTCGGGCATTTTGTCTAAGCAGTGAGAAAGTAACTGATAGAATTACTCTAACTATACTGTGCCCAGAAATCACACCAATGAATGGAAAAGTGCCTTGATCAAGAGGGACACAGCCTGTCTAACACAAAGTGATGGGTGCAGTGAACCGGAGGCCTACAGTCTCTTGGCCCCGATTACCTGGCACTGCTTGTATTTTAATTAGCATTTCAAGTACCAGAAGCTCTCTCTGATGAATTTTTTTAAAAAGGTCTATTGAAAGGGTATTAGAAGGAAAAGCAGAAACACCAGGTCTTGACAGAGAGAGAAACATTTGTTTCTTAGGAAGTTGGAGATGAGTAAGACCAACACCAGGACCAAGCAGCTCACTTCATTCAGTTTTCATTACAAAAATTGGCTGCAGCCATTCAGTGCCCTTGGGTTTCTCTGCCCAATTTCTTTGTGGTTTTGGTTGAAGACTTTTAAAACAGTTTCTCATATAGCCCAAGCTAGTCTCAAACTTAAAATGTTTCAGGAGGGTGGCTCTGATTGTGATTCTCCTGCCTCCACCTCCTGGGAGCTGGGATTACAGGTGTGTGCTATCTCACATGGCCCCTGCCTAATGCTTTTATTACAGGAAGAGAGAACCTGGTCCAAAAGCTTGGATCTCATGCCAGGCCCTTAGCAAGACTAGCGAGACACCATCATTGGAAAGCCTACGACTGCTTGTAGATTGGCTCAGATCTCAGACCTCTTGGGGAAGTATTTTTGTTCAGTAGACGACGGGTTACACACAATGGGTTGAAGTGAGGAGGCTAAGCCACGAAGGGGTGCTCAGCCACAAATGGGATATTGGGGAGCATCTCAGAAATGTGCTGGAAAGATTTTAAGAGCCAGAGGCCAGGGAAGACCACAGAGAAGCTCTGCTTCTGGATATGACAGAACACTGAACTCCCGGCAGCTGTGGCCCCCTCCAGAGGGCTGAACAGGACTGAGCCCCTCAACTCAAACATGGAGTGGGAAGGGGCTCATGAGCCCCACTCCTGAGGAGCTCTTGACAGCTGCCAGAAGAGGGAAGAGACGGTTTTCCTTATGGGTGTAGCTCCTGGGAGGAGGTCAACCATGCTCCAGTAGATGGCCTCCCACCAGGAGTAGATGGCAGCACTAATTTGAGTTGATGGGTTATGAACTGAAAAAAAAAAAAAAAAAAAAAAGACACAAGTTTGGGGATAGGAAGGGGCCCCAGATCTGTGAGGAGTTAAGGGAAAGGAACAGAGTAAATATGATCAAAATACACTGTACAGCTGGGCGTGGTGGCACACGCCTGTATTCCCAGCACTCTGGGAGGCAGAGGCAGGCAGAGTTTGAGGCTATTGTGGCCTACAAAGTGAGTCCAGGACATAAAGGCTACACAGAGAAACCCTGTCTTGGAAAGAAAAAAAAAAGAACACTATATAATAAAATGAGAAGGAGAAAAAAAAAGAAAAGGGCGTGTGTGTGGGGGGGGATTCAAGACCATGCAGCAGGATGACGGGTAGGTACTTAGCCTGAGCAACAGAGGGAACAGTACTGGAGATGAAAGCCTCAGGTACTATCTACTTCCTCCTCTCAAAAGCATTCAGGACCTTCTCCATGTCTGCCCTAGGGTCCCTGTCTTCAGAGTACCTCTCTACTAGCCTTGTGTTTGGCATACTTTATTACCACAGGTAGCCCCCTGCAGATGGGGCCCATGTGTTGGGAGCCATCAAGCCAAAGTCCTTCCTGCTCGTTTGCTCTTGAGCAGCGGCTTAGCCACCCAGCTGTCTCTTCCATGTGTGGAGTCAGCTCCCCTAGTGAGAAGTAGCTCGCTTTACCCTCCCGGAGAACACCTGACCGTGTGTGGCCGTCACAGTAGAGCAGGGAGTGTTGCTGGTGTCAGGTGGGACACTGCTAAACATCAGGTGTGCACAGGACAGCCCGTGATCAGGCCCTAAATGTCCACAGTGCTGAACTGAACCTTGGTCTCAGCTGAGAGCCACCGCCTCCCCCTCTTCCTCAATCAGCCACTCAGATCTTTCTCTCATGTCCCTGACTGCTATTGTCATCCAAATGTTTGGTTGCTGCTTGGCACCTGTGCCTGGACTAGAAGATGGGACCTATGACGTGGCCTTCAGTCCCGGTCGGCTTCCCTGGCACACAGTGTGTGTCACAGTGAGCAGGTGTTGTTCGGCAAGTGCTGTTAAGGGAGTGGCCCAGCTCCTCAGAGGCCAGGGGTCAGAGAGCCACAGGAAACCTCGTCCTTGGTCTGGCCAAGCTCCTATGAGACAGATTCAGCCTCCGAGGATGGCTGGCAGATGTCATAAGCCTCCTGAGCCTGAGTTTCTGCACCTCTACAGTGAGGCTGTTAACACTGGCCCTTTCATCAGGAGCTGCAGTGCAGAGCAAATAATCCATGGGCTGGAGAAAATGCCTGACTCTGACGAGCCTCAGCAAACGCCATGTGTCTTCAGCAGTGATATTGTCAGGATCTGCTGGTGCAGGCAATGAGGATGAAAGAATGGACTCTGGACTACTAGATTAGGGGTTAATGCAGTTTGCAAGGCGAAAGCTGTCTGCCTTTGGTTTGGCCAGCTCTTGCTCCAGCTGTGATATGAATGGGATGAAGCCTTGCCCCAGTCCCATCAGAGAGCATGGAGGGAGGGTGGCAGATGGCACTGTCTTTGAATTACAAAAAACGGGAAGAAATTGAAGTGCCCCATTGCAACAGACATGGGCCGTGAGAGGGGAGGGGCAGGAGTTGACCAGAGAGGAAACAGGTGCCTTTTCAACTGGATACTCTTGAGGGTAGCTGAAGATCTAGAGTAATATTCTTTTACAGCTGTAAGAGAGAGAGAAAAAGAGGGAGAGAGAGAAAGAGCGAGAGAGAGACCCTTGAGTTTGCACAAGCATTTTCTGTGGAGTAATCTGAGACCTTGATTCTTTGACTACTATAATTTCCTCACTGACCTGGGTCAAGGCTGGTGACAAACCCTGTCCCGTGACATCCTGACTACAGGCACCTCTAGTCTTCAGAAGACACCTGCGAACAGGCACCTGTACTGGACGTTTTGGTTTCTTTGTAAACTCAATTATGTTATGTAAATTTGTTTTAATTCCAAGTGTGGGGTTTTAATTGGGTGATAGCTTGTCCACAGCTGTTAATTGTCTCACGTGGGGTGTGGCCTTTGACAGCTGGTAATGGCCTGCCTCCTGCGACATGGAGAGGGGCATGGTCCAGGGCTCTGAGGATATAAATATAAGAACCCAGAAAGAGAAGTGTGGCGTGTGGTGGTGGTGTGTGGCCAGTGGCAGTTTGGAGAGACCACAGACAGACAGTGTGGCAGACAGATAGAGAGAACCATTTCAGGGCACAGAGGCTTGGTGGAGACTGCTGACAGCTATTGACGGAGATTGGTATAACCCTGAAAGAACCCATTGACCCTAAACAGCCAGGAGGGGGCTGCGCCCCTCCCACTTACTTTCTCTCCTACTTAGGGTTGGGGGTTGGAAGGGAGGTAGAGGCCTAAACAGCCCAAATAAAGTAGAGTTTAGAAACAAGCGCTACAGATACCATTATCGAGAAGGAACTCAGGGCTGGGCAGACAACTCCAGGCACTTCCTGTTTGAGCCTGCGTGTGAGCCACAACAGAGTGGGACGCCGTCTAATCCGCTGGCCAGAAACCACACACTATCTCTTACACTCACCAAACCTAACTTTCCTTCACTGTGAAACTTGAGAAACAGCAGGATCTGCCTCACAGTTAGGCAGACAGACAGACATGCATGGGTATAGCTTCTCATCCTGGGCAGGACACAAAAAACGGTTAATGAAATCTTAGTATTGTGGCCAGAATCGACTTTAATGCCAACCTGCCCTCTGGGCTCTGAAACCCTAAGGACAGCTCCTTTACATAGATTTGTCCTTTGTTCTCAGCACGGCACCTGACACCAGCCAAGGACTCGGTAAATGGTACTGGCTAGTGGTTAGAGACTGGTACCTTTTGGGACACCCGATTCTTAGTCAGCACCATGTGACACCATGAAATGCTGCCAGTAATGCGTGTGACTCTTTGTCACTAGTTTGAACTTTAATCCTAAGTGGATAAAGCAACCCTCCTGGCCAGTAGTGAAGTGGCCCTGAGTATGTTTTCCCAGCCTTTCCCGGCAGCAAGAAGCCTTTCCCCAACCACACCGTAGGCAATTTGCATTTAAATTGTTTTTTTTTTTTTTTGTTTTTTTTTTTTTTTTGCTCATTACAATACTCTTGCAGGTCAGCTGGAGTTTTCGTTCTCCAGAGTCAGTTTGGACTCTCCATTTACCACTTGAGGGTCCCTCATGCCGTCTGCCTCTCTTCCTGACATCGAGATGAAGTCACAGAACCTTGGAGTGGAGGCTAGATAGCCTAAGAATGTTTCTAAGTCTCATCTAGGAAGAGGAAGAGACTGAAGGATCCTGGATTTAGAACTCTGGTCTCGTTCATTCCAGCACTGTCCACAAAGCATGCTGCTGAGTGCTGGGCATGCTGAAATAAATGGGACACATCTGCTGCCCTCCAGGGGTTCCTGTCTGGTAAAGGAGAGAAGACTAAGGCTTGAAACAACAACAAATCACATTATATTCACAGGAATAAAGAATGAATTCCAGCCATACGACAGGCTTTCAGAAAGTGTTTGTCATGAACACAAACACAACAGTGTCTGTGTATGAACACACACACACACACACACACACACACACACACACACACACACTAACATCTTCCTTAAAGCACTCCTAAGTATCTCCTAAGACAGAGTACTTTAAAGTCTCCATTTAAAACCCTTCCATGCCCAAAAAATTGTCACACAATGTGAGCACAAAGTAAACAGTGGAGATCCACAAACCAAATATTTCCTGATAACAAGCCAAACAGAAATGTATTTAAAATGATTCTTGCATACATCTAGTTTTTTTACTTGTTAAAGACAAATAAAACTTGCATACGTATGGGAGACGTGCACTCGCTTATCGTTACATAAAGAATTGAATCTTGGGTGAACAGATGCGGAAGGATGGAAAGTTAATTGATATTTTGATTTCATGAGTTGGTGCTGAGGATGGCACTTTGTATAAATATGAAGCACAAAATGGCAAAAATGTGTTTAGGGCCGTATCAAAAAAACATCGCAAATTCTGTTCTTATCCCAAGGCAAAATATACTGAACATGTTTTTTCATAACTCAAGTTGAATAGAAAAATTA